ATTAGTCATTTGAAAACTCTCAGTAGGTGTAATTTTCACGTACATAAATAATGTAGTTTTATATACAATTTCCTTTTTAAGAAATTAGTTTTAAACATTCAAAAATCATGTTGTAATTAAAAATTATTAAATAAAAATATTTTATTAATTAAATATATTATGGTCATAATTATACAATTTATGACCACAAATACACATTTATAAGCTACAATTTATTTATTGATTGGAAATTATCAAATTAATTGATCGCATATTATTTTTTTGTCACAAATCAAAAATGTTATAGGTCACAATTTATTTCTTGACCACAAATTTTATTGGTAACAATTTATTTATCGATCACAAATTATCAGATTAATAGGTAACAGATTATTTTTGGATTCGCAAATTTTATAGGTTACAACTTATTTCACAATTCACAAATTATCAAATTAATTGATCACAACTTAACAAATTGTTAATCACAATTACAAATTTAATCTTAATTTCACATTTTTTTGTCACGTATTATTTATTGGTCACATATATCTATTTTGCTGGTCACATATTATATATTGGACACATTTGCCCAAATAATTTATTACAAGCACTCTTCAGTCTTCATACCACCCCAACCAACAAAACACTACACACCTCACCACCACCACCACCACCAGCACTACTACTGTTAACACCCAACACCACCTGCACCACTACCATTTGTGACCACCATTGTAACACCACGTGCTTTATTCTCGTAATTATCATGTCTGTCTAGATTATGTATTAATGTTATATTTACTACTTAATTATCATAACTATCTTTCTCATGACTAATCATATTTTGCAATGGAATGTACCTTTGACGTCCTAAACGATCAATGTGGCTAGCAAAGTTAATTATAATGTGTATATATTTCTATTAAATGACATATTCATCTAATTGTACGCTTATAGTTTTATGACTTTCCACTTCTATAGGAATAAACCTAGACTTTTACTTGGAAACTTTCATAATTTTATATTTAGTAAATTCTATTTATTTAATTTGATTAATAATTATGCAAGAAATTAATGAACGGCTGATGAAATCGGCCAATTTAGATTTTATTAATTATGTACCTAAAGCTTTCCCTTATTAGTGGAATTATTATTAGAAGGCAATACCTTTCCTAATTCTAAGCACCTCATTACAAAATGGAAAGAAACCTCAAAAATGGAAGAAAAGAAGAAAAGGTGGAAAGTGGGATTTTAAGACTTACACAAGGAATAAATGATGCAAGTGTGATCCATGACTATTAGTTTAGTGTCTCACGTGGAAGCCACATGGAAATTCAAATTAACTTAAAAAGCTTAAAAGGTTGATAATTCTTTAAAAAAAAAAATGGTACCCAAGATGAAGTAATATTTTACCTATTCAATATAAAAAATAAAAAGTAATGATAAAGTTGGAAAAGTTATATTATATAAATGAAATAGGACTACGACACAGTTGATTTTCGTGGACGGTTAGGGATATCTCCACTTGCTATTCTAAAAATAAAATTCTAAGGATTCCAAATAAGTAAATCTCCAATTATTTTCATGTGCACATCATATGGTTAAATGTATAAACATGATACTTAAATTGCCCTTACGTGAACATGATATTTAATCATTACGTTTTATGTCATAAATGCTTCTCATCACATATTCAAACATGCCACTGCATTGATAAGTATACATAAAGTTTGAATGAATAAAAAGTTTCAAAATGTCAATGAGTCGAGGACTATTTCAAAAAGATACGTATCTCGAATGTTTTTATTACGAGATGTATGTATATGCTATGAAAAGTGTGAGTGGGAAATGGAAAGTGAGGGATGGCAACCCGACCAATGTTAATGTTAACTGCTTTACGCTACTACCAATAGAATGAATAAGGTTCAAAATAATAATTGTCCACTGTATTTTGATTGGTTAGACAATACATCAAGTGAGCAAAAATGTTAATGTTAAGATTTTTAAAGAAATGAAAAAAATGAGGTACATATTGATAATTTTTTTTAATATTAAAGTAATTCATAAGCATATCACGAGCATGCATCATATGCATGAGGTTTGCCTACCGAGCGTTAGCTAATTCCATATTATCTCTCCCCATTTTCAGACGATGAAGGGAAGATACGAAATGACAATTTGTGGTGACACGAACTCAGTACTGTCACATGTAAATATTGAATTCGTTTTGTAAATAAAGTAAACATTCAATTTAATTGTCATATATTTTATTATAGTGCGGATTACTTTCATAAATGTAGTAGATGATGTTTATTATGTTAAAAAAAATTAATTATTTTTCCACAAACGATAATATTTTCAAATCTAAGTATCTAGATTTGGGGGTGTTACAACCACTATCTCACCATTGTAACCAGCACTACCACCACCTACATAGTTGCCGCCAGCACCACGACCACTACCTATGCCATCATCGCCACTAATAATTAAAATAATCCCAAAATTCTAGTTAAGCAACAGATCGAATGAGAAAAAACTACCCCAAAAAACGCATCCAAAACACTGCCGCATTGTAGCAACGACTATAGTGCACAGGCCGTTGCTGCATCGTTGATTGTTTGGCCACCGTTTGACCTCCATTATTCCTCATTAAATTTTAATTCATTTTTCCTTCTCTTTTTATTAATCTCACATTTTTTAATAAAATAATATTACACATAAACAAAAAAACTTTTTTTTTTTTTTAACCATTCATTCTCCAAAAAAATAACTATTACTCTTGTTATAATATAGAATAATGGGGACCAGATGGAGGCTTGGTGAAGTGGTGTAGGGGGTGGATGGATAGATTAATTTTATATTTAGTAATATTAAAATTTTTAATTATCACCTGAATTTTGAACAAAAATTTTTGAATTGGAAAGTTAAAAAATTTGAGATGGTGTAATTTCCACCTTTAAATGTGGTGTTATTTACAGGAATTTTTTGAAAAATTACAACCGCCTCAGCAAATATACGTTTTCTTGGGGACTAATTCATAGATACTTTGAATTAGTTAGAAGTTTAATACTATTGTTAAAATTAATAAATTATATAAAGAATAGAAGAAGTGTGCTATACGCCCTAACGAAAATATGAATTTATTGACTATTGAGTGTAACCACATAACGAGATAGACTATAGATATTTTAAATACACTACAAATTTTATATAAAATATGCGATGTTGAAATCAACATACGGTTGATTTTGATTACGAAAAGCTCCAAGTTCAAGTGAAAACTCATAAATGTTTTAACGAATATACGAGGAATGATTTATTAAATGACTTCTGGATTAATTGGGCAAGATAAATTAGAGGCTTTATAAACTAAAACACGATGTTAAATATAAACATGCATGTTTTACAATTTAAATAAAATTGAGTTAAAAATAGTAAGCATTATACACATTTAAAATATTATTATTAAATTATGACCAAGTTACATAGCCCCTGTTTGGTACCGTTAAAAATTTAATTAAAATTTAAGTTAAAGTCAATAATTAATTTTAATCATATATTTTATAAGACACACGACTTCTCAATTCCATTAATCTTTATCAAAATCTACTAAAATCTGATTTTAATCTCTACCAAACATGGTTATAATATATTGTCATTTTAATCAAATATATTACTTATTATAAATATTTCAAAATAATTTTAAAATATCCCTTTGATCATTTGATATTTAATTTTAGATAGATAATTCGTCTAAAAATATATATATTAAGAAAAGTAATACCACTTATAAATATAATAAGTAAATGTTATAAGTAAAATTTAAACTATGTTTAACGAGTTATGTATTAAATTTGTCAAATTATATTCTTAGCCCCTGTTTGAGTTACATTATTTTTTTCATTCTTATTCTTCTATTCATTTTTAACTACACATTATTCAATAAATAATATTTTCCATCACATCAATAATTCTTCCTTCTTTTTCAACCACATATTCTCTATCACATCAACAGTAAAAATGCATTCTCACTCCCAAAATGTGCTCCAAACAAGGCTTAAAATTTACTTATAGTAATGTAATTATAATTAATTGTAGAAAATTTCAACTTTTAATGGTATTTTAGATATATTAAGCCCCTATTTGAGCCACATTATTTTTTTCATTCTCAATCTTCTACTCATTTTCAACCATACATTTTTCAATAAAATAATATTTTTCATCACATCAATGACTTTTCATTCTTTTTCAACCACATATTTTTCATCATATCAAAACAAAAAATGCATTCTTGGTGCAAAAATGTGCACCAAACAGGGGCTAACTTTAGAACATGCATTGTTCGAGGAGTCATATATAAACACGACAATTGTAATTTTTTTAATGTGAAGGATATTTCTTATATTTTCTTAAAGCTCGTAAAGTATATGATATTGTCGAGAGAAATAATTTTTAGCCTCTATTCGATGGAAATTAAAATCAGATTTTTAGTAAATTTCGATAAAAATGATGAAATATGTAGTTGAAAAATTGTGAGATTCATGAAATATACGAATAAAATTAATTGTTGATTTTGAATTTTATAAAAATCGAGTTATATATTGCCATTTTGGTTGAGTCTCTTTTAACTCTGATATAAATTGTCTCGATTTAATTTCAACATAAATAAAGTGTTCGAATGTGTACAAAATCCTTTCATTTCCATTTTCCAGAATGGCATAATTTCCTTAAATCAAACGCACCGTAAATGTTATCGTAACTGTAATTCAAATTACCTCTTCTCCTTCGTCGGCACCACCACTTACGGCTGTCGTCGGCGGAGTTTATTGTTAATTCTGGTGCAGTCTATCCGCGTGGTCCACTTAAAACTGGTCAAAGTCAACTCCACAGCACAACATACTATACAGCCGCCTTCTTATAGTATTTTTTTTTTAATATTTAATTATTGTTTTCTCTCTATCATCCCATTTCAATTTTATAGACAGGGAATCAAATTGAAGGAAGCAATTTTAGAGAGAGAAATGAATGGGGTGGCGCCGCCTGAGACTGCCGAGTATAATGATGCGACGCCGGCGATGCTGCGGACTTACCAAACCTGGAAAGGCAGTAATGTAATTTTCACCAACCTTTTTTTTTTTATGCTGATCTCCTGTTTACATTTTGAAGAATATTGAACGTGTTCCTATTTTTGGGTAAAAATATCAATTTTCTAGGGTTAGTAATTCCTATAGTTGCAGCGAAGTTTTATGATCAGGATCTCAGATGATTTTTTATATTTTAAATAAATTTGAGATTTATTATTAATGCTTCGCAAGATAGCTAAGATTTTGAATCTTTATCGGATCCTTAAAATTGACATAAATAGAGGAGAATTGAAGCTTTATAGCTGAGATTCAGCTGATATGAAAGTATAAAGATTCATTTTTTTCACAGTAAGTTATGTTTCCATTTTTAAAAACTTGAATGATGAAAAGAGATCTAATGACGAAGTTATCGTATTAATATGTTCTACAAAAACAAAATAAAATTTGCATAAAGGAAAGTTTGCTTATTATTTGTTGGTGGTGGTTCTAAAAATTGTACTACTTTCTTTAAATTTGAAGTAAAAATATGATCTTTTTGTAGAACTGCACTTGAGACAAAAATAAGCTCATGTATCTATTAAAAAAACATTGGGTGTATTAATTATAAAATTCGAAAGGAAAAGAATTTTGAAGTTAGGTATCATTTTTTGCGTAGATAAGCTTGCTTTTGGATTGCATTAACTGAAATTCTGCTTATGCGTGATTATTTTGGTGAATGGATTTTGCTGCTTACCTATCGCAAGCTCTCCTAATTATGTTTATGTATTGGCGAAATTGTGTTTCTGCTCTCTTTCTAATGATTGGGCTGTATGGCTTAGTACCTTTTTCTGTGCTTTCTCCAATAATATTCATATTTTCATTGTGCAGATATTCTGTCTCGGGGGAAGGTTGATTTTTGGGCCAGATGTAAGATCAGTCTTTCTAACAATAGGTCTGATAGTTGGTCCTATCTCTGTTTTCTGCATCTTTGTTGCAAGAAAACTGATGGATGATTTTGTTGGCAATTGGGGAATCTTAATTATGGTTGTAGCCGTCATTTTCACACTATATGTAAGTCCTCCAGTTTTCAATTTTGAGAATTTTATGTTTGTTTTTCATTGTTTAAGGGCTTAACTGAAATCTCACAATTGTCATGTCTCCAAAATTTGTAGTAGTTAATTTATTAGTTCTTTTGAAATAGCAATGTAAAGCCCTGTAGAACTATGTGATGTTTAACTTGCTACTTTGAGATGAACATACGATTTATTTCTTGTCTTCCAATTTCTATTTTCTTTCAGTTTTATTAACAAATGGGCATTTCTAACTAGACCGAGTAAGTTACTAGATAATTTTTTCAAGATGTATATTGACGTTGATATACGTTGACTATGAGAGCGTTGATGGAGACCATATTACGTGGGCATAGTCTTTCCTTTTGCTTATATTTGGGGATAGAGTTCTTATATGTTATTCTGACAGTTTAGCAGACAAGTTGTGGCTATATTCTATCTGATTTCTTTCACTGCATAAATCTTCTTATTTTCCTTGGTCTTTTGTCTGAATCTGCTCCCCTATGTATTATTCTTGATTCCCATAATTCCTTTTGAGGTCCTTGAATTTCTTTCCTAAGCCCCTATTTGGTTTAGCTAAAAAAGTTGATAAAATTTATAAGTCAAAGTTAACAATTAATTTTAACTGCACATTCATGGGAGTTACAACATTTATCAACTTTTCAACCGCACATTTCTTCAACTTTTACTAAACAAGAGCTAATCTCCTTTGTTTGGTTTTCCATTAAGTTAGGTTGGATTATGTAGGGACACCCATTTTGGTCCATGTTCTACCATAAGATCCATTTCTACTTGCTCTTGTCATGGTAATACTTTAGAAAAACACCGTTTCTATTTATAGCTAGTAGTTACCTTCAATTTAGCTAGGATTGCTGTGCCTTAAAGAAGCAGCTGGCGGAAAGAAGTAAAAGTTCTGTACCTCTTTTCTCTTTGTCTAAGTAATAGCTTTCAACTTCCCCATTGAAATCTGGATGATCTTCCCGTGATCACAGAGAGAGAAAGCAAGAACCAGTTAGAGAGTCACCATAGCATAGTGATAGTTTCAGGCGTCAACGTTTAAACATCAAAAATTGAGAATCCTGCATATTGCAGGTGTCTCTTTATTTTAGCTTTCAACATGGCTTACACCTTCTAACTTGTTAATTGTTATCTAAATGGTAAAGAACTAGTCAAATAACACTACAATATCAAGTGCATCCTGATGCAAGAAATAACGTTCGATTATTATCTGCATTCTGTTTATTATAGGATACCAATCATACTTCATTCCATGTATCTGTTTTTGCAGGTGTTAGTTCTTCTCCTCCTAACTTCTGGGAGAGATCCTGGTATTATTCCTCGCAATGCTCATCCTCCAGAACCGGAAAGTAATGGTCACGTGGAACTTGGGCTTGGTCAAACACAACATTTGCCTCGTGTAAAAGATGTAATAATTAATGGAGTAACTGTGAAGATCAAATACTGTGATACGTGTATGCTATATAGGCCTCCACGCTGCTCACACTGTTCAATTTGCAATAACTGTGTGGAACGATTTGACCATCACTGCCCCTGGGTTGGACAATGTATTGGATTGGTAAGAATTCTTATCTTGATTTTATCACTTGTTATATGCATCAAGCTAATCCTGAATAAAAATGTTTTACCTATTTCCTCTTGGACATCCACAGCTATCCATTCTATCTATTCTTTCATGTTGTGATAATTATTATGGTCTAGTTGGATGATAAATGTTATGCATGTCATAAAGAAAGAAGGGCGTTTTTATGTTTTTGTTCACCGTTGCTTAACATGTGGATATAAAGGGAGTTGTAATTTTCTCTTGGACATCCACAGCTATCCATTCTATCTATTCTTTCATGTTGTGATAATTATTATGGTCTAGTTGGATGATAAATGTTATGCATGTCATAAAGAAAGAAGGGCATTTTTATGTTTTTGTTCACCGTTGCTTAACAACATGTGGATAAAAAGGGAGTTGTAATTTTCTGATACAGTCTTGGTTAGACCTGGTTTGTTTGTTGCTTGTGCCCTTACATGCAGACTGTTCCGGTTGTAGTACTGCCTTTAATTAAAGAAGATCCATGTTGCATAGAAATTATCTGTCCTCCCATGTCCTGATCTCCTAGCTTCCTCCCTCCTTCCCTATGTTCATTCCTCTGTTTGTTTATTTACCCTTCCCCCTAGACCTTCATCCTCACTACCAGCCTCCCAATTCACAAACCCTACCTTATATGAAATCACAAGTCACAACCATCAGGTACCTACCACTATCACCACGACCGCTTCTCCCTCATCTAATCTCACTCTCCGAAAGTATCAACATCAAAGGAAAGAAACGTGAAGATTTTCAACGCTGTCAATTGTCATAAAAAATGAAACTGTCAATTGTCAGCAAAAATGAAGCCTTTTGTTTCATGTGTTCTTTAATAGATAAATGTGCTCTATGCAAACTCACAAGCCCGTTATGGATCGGTGCCTATTATGTGATGACTGTTGTTGATGATGGCTTTTAAGTTATGGTTGTGGTCAGAAGGGGAACCTATGGCGATGGACTATCTAATGATGTTCCTTTGTCTCCTTCCTAGTCTCTTTCTTTCTCTAGTTGTTTACATGACTCACTGTCCTTTTTGGTTTTCATCCAACTTAGTCCATGATTCTCTTTTAGGGAGTTCTAACAAGATCTTTAAACTTTAATAAAAAATTTCCCTAGAAATTTCTATTGTACACTAACATGTTCAATTTCTTAATTCCTCCCTGTTGCCATTATTATTGAACCATGAACATGGAAGAGACTTACTCTGAAAGTCTACTGGGTTAGATTTAGCAAGTAAAATGTAATACCTGCAAGTTTGGTACCTTTGTGAGTACTTAAAGAATATGTCTCCATTGTGATATTTGATGAAATATTTACACCTTTTACATTTCTGTCTTATTTTTTCTCTCACTTCACATGTAGCAACTTTTATGCATATATTTGTTCACTGTGGATAGCTTTAGAAGTCGAGAAAGCTAATACGAACTTTGTTAATTATGAAGAGTTGGGAGTATTTGAAAGGCACCAATTCAGGAAGTAGTGGCGGATACTCGAATTAATTTAACAAGATTCGTGGATTTATTTATGAGAATAACCTGTGTATTTCTGCTCTTGCAGTGAAGAAGCAAATATCCTAATTATGCACATGTATGGTTGTCTGCTATCGTGATAATAAGGTTCCAATAAGAATGATCTACCATTCTAATTATATGACTTTTTAAGCATCGTGTGCTTGTCCGATTTTAAAGTAATTTATTACTTTTGTTTGGAAGAATCATTTTTGTTATTATTGCCGGTCTTCCTTTCTCTTCTATATAATAGAACCTCTCTTTCAGTAAGACTGTTATGTGAAGCTAAAAACTCATTGAATTAAGTTGCTGATCTCTTTTTCTCATATTCTCGATGCAGAGAAACTATCGGTTCTTCTTCATGTTCGTCTTCTCAGCAACTCTTCTTTGCTTTTACGTTCATGGGTTTTGTTGGGTGTATATAAGAAGGATAATGGATAATGAACACACCTCAATATGGAAAGCAATGGCCAAGACCCCTGCCTCCATTGTACTGGTTATTTATTCATTTTTCGCAGTCTGGTTTGTTGGTGGCCTGTCAGTTTTCCACCTCTACCTCATCGGTACAAATCAGGTAATGCACTGATTCTTTTGTACTGTAAATTTGTTTTGCGCTTAACATCCCTCGGTTTAAAGTTAAAGCACGCGTACCTAGATGGCTCATTTGGTATGCTGGACTGTCCATTAAGCAATAAAAATGAAAATATCTTGTTCTTTGTCCTGCATAGTGCTTTCAGTTGTGGGTACTAAAGATGTCCTGATTTGTCTTGTAGTTTCCAAGTTACGTAATGTAAAACCTTTAGTAACATATGGTATTTTATTTGCTCTGCAGTCGACGTATGAGAATTTTAGATATCGGTATGACAGACGGGATAACCCGTATAATAAAGGAGTGGTTCGAAACTTTATGGAGATATTCTGCAGCAGTATGCCTGCATCCAAGAACAAATTCCGAGCAAAGGTGATGAAAGAACACAGCATACCACCTTCAGTAGTCCCCAACAGTTTTGATGTTCCAAACTTGGGAAGCCACTTAAAAATGGGAAAAATCGAAGACGACAGAGATATCAGAAGGAAGCCAGAGTGGAATGAGGCGTTAACTAGTGGAAGTGAATATCAAAGACATTATAGACCCGAGGACAGTGAAGGTAAAGATGCTGAGCTTGATGCAGCATCCTCAGAGCTAAGCAGAGTTACTCGTTCTGAGACAATAGATGGACGCAGGCAATCTAGTTGGGGAAGGAGAAGTGGGAGCTGGGATATCTCCCCCGAAGTATTTCCTATGGCATCGGGAGTTGGAGACTCCAATCGGATAACTCTTGCCAATAGCGACAACTTGACGAAAAACTTGCAATAGCATGTTAGTGTTGCTGTAAATTGAAACGGAGAAAATGACGGGTAAACAGTGAAGTGCTTGTAATTGTTTTCATTGGAACATGCTATTCCCAACGGTATTGAGGTGTGCTAATGTGTGTATATTGTATTCGCGAAACGTAAGTGTGCACGTATACTTCAATTTAAATTTTACAATCTCTATCACAAGGTTTTGAAAATGCAACGGGAAAATTCAGGAACCAGTTGCCATTTCATAGCCTAAAATCGCAAGTTAAAAAATCAGATGAAAATTGACCAACCAACCCGTTCAATCAAGTAACGGACCTTGACCAGGTTTTTCAGTTATCATTTTTCGTTAGAGAGCTAATCTAATTTTTTGGTTTTAATTTTATCATGTGTGTGAACACACGCAGTGCATGAGATTAATTTTGACCTCCGGTTTGTCCATATGCAACCCTGATTAAGAATTTTGACCCTTGAGCCTTTACTGTAATTCTGTTGTTTCGTATAACGCCTCAAATAAAAAACTGTCACATCAAATGAACATTTGTCTAAATTGATTTCTGTGCTCAGCTTTACCGCATTCACATTCACTGCACGAGATTGAGTAGCAACACCGAAAAACGAAAATTTGAAAAAAGATTAATAACAATGCACTTTTGGGATCCAGGATAACTCTCCCACTTTGGATATGATCTTTGCAGAAGCAGCAGAACCATAAACTTAATTTTATCCCAAGTGCACCAACTAAATACAAAACGCAATAATTTCTTTGCAGTACGTTTACTAAGGCGATGAAGGCAAAAGCTTGTAAGTTGCAGCCATTTCGGTTCATCACAAAATTATCAATTCATCAATACTAGCAACAACGTGTTACTCATGACGAATTGAGTAGCAACACTGAGAAACGAAAATTTGAAAAAGGATTACTAACAATGCACTTTTGGGATCCAGGATAACTCTCCCTCTTCTAATGAGACGGTTGGTCTAACTTCACTGCATGTTCTGGAAGCGTTTCATGATGATGATACTCATATCCATGTAACGTTGAGCACAGTTGGTGAGACAAGACGACTCGCTGGAACTGAACTTGTTCCCAGGAGTGCCTGTTATGCATTTGTCCCAGCACACAGTTGTAAGCTTTGCAATCATTTCATTAACCATAGCCTTTTCCCTTTCTTGCTGTAAAGATTCAGATATTATTGTCAAATGTTAGCAAGATGAACTCATACATGCCAAAGCTTTGACGAATCAACAAATAAGACAAACTATCGACGAAGTTTATTTAGATATTAAAAGCGATTATTGGAAAGAAATGTTTTGAATGGTTCAAATGAAGACTGGGCATGGCAACAACTACAATGCCACGTGGACAAGAATACTGCTTCATTGAACAAAGACCCCCCCAACACACACACACCCCACAAAATCTGAATTTATCACCCATGTGGTTTGACAAAGCTATGCACAACATAAACCAGTAATCTACTAGATGCCCAATGTCTACATAACCATAACATTTTTTCTTAAAATTAATCTAATTTCAAGCAAATAAGAAATAGATTAACTTAAATGATAAATATAAGTACAAAACCGATGAGTAAAAGGGAGAGAAGATGCAAACGATATATTTATGGAGGTTCGATCCCAAACTTGATCTACGTCCCCTGTTACCAAGCTCTCCGTCAGCGAGCAAGGTCAAATGCACTATAATGGTAACTTACAAATAAGGAGTACCAATTCTTAAATGACTTATAATAAAGAACACTTATCTTTAGGTGACTTACAACAATGAACATATATCCTTAACAACAATCAAGTTTTCACGAGGCTCTTGAAACCACCACAATATAAATGATAATTTTAAAATTGAAAGAACTCTCTGCAAATGATATAATCAAGTCAAGTATTTAGAGAGTTAGAATAACACTTCAATAGATAGCAAATAATAAAGCTCAAGTGTTTATGTTGTAACACTTTGATGAATGATAGATAATGAAATAGTTTGTAAATTTGTATCAAAATTTTCAACAAATGATCTCTCTTAACAAATAATACAAGTTAAGTATGAAGAGAGATTTACACTTTAAATCAAAGTGTTGACAAAGAAAACTTTTATTAAGAATTGAAGAATAGATGAGATTGAGAAAGTTTCTTTACAAAAAGAATTCTTGATGAAATAGATNTCGTTGGAGTTTCGGCTGACACTTTGGTCGACCAGTTTATACTTGAGTCGACCGAAGTATATAGATATTGAAACGTAATTTTCTATATCAAAATGTTCATTTTTCCAAAATCATTTTTATACTAAAAATATTTTTACGCAAGTAAAGAATTATGAAGATAGTTTGAGTTTTATGCACTTGCTAAAAATCGATGAGTTAATACATTTACATATTAAATTTCGATAAACAATTTCTAAACTCTAATATTCAAAGTTTTTGTTCTCTTCGAGTCTCTTTTGAGGATTTGAGCCTTTGAATGCTTAAGACGATTTATTCATTAAAAACTCAAGAAACAAATTTGTTAGAAACATAAGTGTGAAACGTAAGTGTATTGTTTGTTATAACTAAAACAACAATTTCCCTATTTTTTATTATGACAAACAATATGTGATTTGTGGTAATTTGTAGAAATATACAAGATATTCCCTGTATCTTTTACACATTGATGAGAACCGAACTTGTATTTATATCATTTTCCGTAGCATAATATTTAAAGACATGCATTTCCACAATTCAATTAAAATAAATCACATTATCATAATTCATAGAAATAATGGAAGTCACAATTCATTAAAAAAACTCACATTAGAAATCATAGAGATAATGGAAGTCACAATTCATTAAAACAAATCACATTAGAAGTCATCATAATTCATTGAAATAAATCACATTTCCCCCTTTGTCTTCATCAAAAAGAATGAGGACAATGGAGTTAAAATAAACTTCCCCCATAATCAAAGCATAGGTGCAAAGAAAAAAAATTGATCACAGGTCATGACATGAAACTAAAAATAAGTTAAAAAATGAAAAGAGGACAAAAACAACAAAAGAGAAACGACGATTCAATCTTCCGCCGGTGGAGGAGGGCCTCGAGGATAAATGGAGTACATGTGTGCAAAGAATGCCTCTTGTGATAAGCTCATTTGCTCCATCCGTTGTTCAAGTGCATCCATTCGGCTATTGATGGTAGTAGCAAGGGAATTAATTCGACCTTGTAGGATGTTGAATTGATCTTCGGACATATGTCGGCCGGGGGTAGGTGCAACTTGTGGAGTAGTAGGCTTATGTCTCGGTCGCGGTGAATTACTACCATCACCACCAACACTCATTTCGTCTTCCACCCCTTCTTCGGTGAATGGCCAAGTAGTAGGTCCCGAGGTATTTTGTTGAAGCCTTGAGTATGACACACTCATTGCCCGTCACCTTTAACGATTTTCATGTGTTTAAGGGTATTAAGGTTAATGACATCGGTGTGTTTTGGTTTAAGAATAGGCTCATCGTCTAATGGCACGTTGAAGTGTTGAAAATTTTTAGTAAGAAGCATGCCATAAGGTAGGCCTAGGACTCTAGGAGACGAGTGGACACGTCGAATGTGTTTCAAAAAGATATATGAGAAATCCAATTGACGACCAACAAGAAGTGAATCAAGATATATCTCCGAAAATGCCTACCCTAGATTAATTGACGACCAACAAGAAGTGAATCAACATTTCTTTTCATATGCACTTCTCATGTGATCACATGTCCCAGTTGTGGAGATCAAACGAGATTTCTTAGCAATAAATCTACTCCTCTTCTCTCATAGATATATGCTGATTAAAAACAAAGGAAAAGCCATTGATTACTAAATCTAGCTATTAAATACATACTGGTTACTATGTCTTGAACCTCAATACTTAATCCTTTTGTAATCAATTCCACGTTTTGTGACCTTCAGTACAAATGTTTTCAGACCGTTAAGAATGCCTTTTGAAAGGCACAAAAGGTCTAAGTCATCTAGTTAACAATTTCCATGTTCAAATATCTCTCTCTCCTCCATCTCCATAATTCAATTTCCATAATTGGAAGAAATGTTCTTCTCCAAAGCAGAAACTAATTTCAGACATTAAGGAAGCGTAAAAAATGCTTTCAACGGGTGCATAACCTGTCGACAAAAGCTTCAAAAAAATTTAAGATTGAGTTCATTTGGAAATTTCAGCATTCATTAGACAGACGATAGATGTTTACTCATTACTGAATCTGCTGACGCCTCATTTTCATCTCTAAACAGTTACGTTTATTTCATTAAATATTTCTTATAAATTCAGCTTCTACTCATCCAAAGTTTTGTAATTTCTTATGAGAGTCTATATCCAATTCTTTCTAAAGCGGTAACAGAATCGACGCAACATTAAAAAATCATTCAAAGGAGTAGGTTAAAAATTGCAATAACCATATTTTGCATTAACATACTTTTATTCAACAGTCAAAACAGTATGATGAAGCAAAACATAATAAATACACGAAGCGTATTTTTCGAAATACTTACGGTGATAAGTTGCTGAAATTCAGGAGAGCTCTCCATTGTTTATCAGATGATTTCCTCTGTAATGATTGAAAAGTAATCGGGACAGTCTAACGTAGAAAACCCCTAGCAAAAGTCAAATTGGGTTCATCTCGTTACGGCCCAGTATGAACTGGATTACAGATACGGGCCTAAACCGATATGGAATGCGTCTAACTTCGGAAAATTAATACAAATAGCACAAGAATTGGTCTGCAACAAATAATAGCACTTTTTTGCTCTCTCTTTTTTATTTTTTGTATTAATAGAATTAAGCCATCAAGTTTGAGTATGATTCAACCAATAATTCTCAAATGTCTAAGGGTTCGTTTGACTGCAAGAGTGGAATTTGGATGGAAAGAAAATAAATTACAGGAAATTGAATTGTTTAGAATTGTTTTCCTATGAATTGTCAATTAATTGTGATTTTGACTATCAAACATGACAAAAATGAGAAATGGAATTTCAATTCCATTTTCCATGGAAAAAATGGCCTATCAAAGAAGCCCAAAATGTCAAATTATTCTTGTAATTATCATTTCTTATTCTATCTATTTTAGTGTCACTACACATCCATCAAACATCTTCATTTCCGATTGTGTATGATCAAAATCAATGTTGTGTGTGTCAGTACACGTTTCTTAAGGATTATTGTCATTGGTTGCGCCATTTTTGCATAGATTGCAGTTCGTGATGCTTTAAATTCCGCACTCGAAGAAGAAATGTCTGCTAATCCCAAAGTCTTCTTTATGCTATCACATGTAATTTCGAGAGTCTTCATATTCGTTTCCCAGCCATTGATCACATTAAAAATTCTGCTGCAAAATCATACTACATGTCAGATATCAGTGCCCATTGTATTTAGAGGTCCAAATGGTGCTGACATTCCCATGTAAGAGTTTTCTCTTAATACCATCTTGTTTAAGCAAGGTGTTTACCCAAAATTATAGGGTTCCATTTAGATGTCTACGTGCACAAAGGTGCTCTGTTAGAACGTAGAAGCTGATGGTCGAGAGGGATAGAGGAACGTTCTTATATAAACTACATAATTCTTTTCCAGTTTCTAATGGTGAAAATTCTAATGCATAGAGGACTCGTTTCGATTATAAAAGTGGTTCTGTACTTCTGTTGTCAACATGAGATTTCAAAGTGATCTTTCAGTACAAGTCGCACATGATTAGATACAAAATCTTTACAACTAAACCTGGTAGGCAGGAAAATTTCAAGTCTAAACTATACAACGAAAATGGGATTCCACGTATATAAATTTCATAATCGATCACGAACAAAGACACAGAAATGCATGAAGAAGACGCTATGAACCAACCCACTTGACACTTTGAATTGAGTTAATTATGCACAGAACCCACATAATTACAAAATTGAGAATGAAATCAACAACGAAAAAGATTATATTTGATCCCAGCAATGGCAAAAACACCCAAGTTTCCAAAAGATTTGTTTCCTTTAAATTCTCTCTCTACCTTCTTTCGGTAAAATTCTCTGAAATTGATCGTCTCCGGTTGAACCTCCAGTCCTTAGACCAACCAATTAAGGAAGGATAGAATGCGTTGGTAAATCTCCGAGGAGCCATATGAGGCTCTTCTTTCTTGTTTTTCCTCCAGGTAGCTGCACTCGTTACTGTATTATTTCTCAGGAATCGGGATGATTTTGGATAAAAAATTGAGGAATTAAAAGAAGCATTGGATGCACCAAAAGATACAGGGCCATCTTGTAATGATGTATCCATAGGGTATCCAACCGATCCATCCTGATGGGGAGGTGGAAATCTCTCACTCTTTGTCTTAGCATTAGCTTGTGACTCAACTCGCAACCTCTGCAGTTGCAGGTGCAGAGAAGTAAATCATTACATTTTAAGCATACAAGTGCCTACATTCACACCATGCAAATATGTATACAAAGAATAAAAAAGATCTAAAAGATGGAAGATTAAAAAAGGGTGTTTAGCAGAACAACCAAAAACTTCATTTGTTGAGGTCTAAGACTGTATGTTCTTCCCTTTCATGTCACTAAAGCAGCTCCTAATCTTATTAAAATCATAATGTATCATCTTAACATGGAGTTCTTAGAAGTTGCAATTAGAGTTTTTTTTTTTTTTTTAAATGGGGAGTTCCAATCCGGAGAACACTGTTCTCTGACTAAAAGGTTGATTGTAAGCACTAAGCCTACAAATTTGCTATTTCCTAAACTGAGCATTCGCAATGTTTTTTTTTCCTCCTTCCATTCCACTTAGCTCTTGATTCTTGCTGTTAGTTTTCTTTCTTTTTTACGGTCTTACACATGATTAATAAGAATTATCTTAAAATACAAGTGAGAGGGTACAACATAGCAAAGGAGAGATCCACTGAGCTCAAATTGCAGGCAGTAGTTTAAAATCCTTAACTAGCACACTGTTTATACCCCATGCTTAACAGAAACACCGCAGTTTTTTAATTATGTTACAAGAGACGATAACTATGATAGCATTTGACATGGTTATAGCGCAGAAAACAAAAATGGATTCCGTTTGACTTACATCTAAGTTTGCTTGGATCTCTGCGTTGGCTTCTGGCGCAGGAATTGCACGGCCTACCCGTTCATGAATTCTCATTCTTCTGGTACCATCTACGACGTGGGCCTTCCCACCTAAACCTCGTTGCCTATAGTTAAGATAAATGTCAGTATATAATCGAGATTGGTCAAGAATTTCTTAATATCAAGAAAGTAAGCACCTTCTGGCTTCTTCAACTCTCAATTTTATATCCATTTCCTTGCTTGGAGGATACTTCGGTAAGCTTGATGGCTCACAGGCATATGGTATAGTGTTAAAGAACTGTTCATGAACAATATATTAGATTCAAGCAATTCTGCCACCAGTGCACTTGTTCATATTTGAATAAAATTTCACTACTTAACCCCCATCTTCATCACCAAATGCACACCCACAGAGACACACAAACAAAAAATGCCAAAAAACATTAAGTGGGAAGAAAAGGTCCCAATTATAAAAGAAATTGATTTTGTAAAGTAAATTTGTTAAAATATACAACCTGCAAAAGACAAGAACAAATAGTTTTGAACAGAACTAGATTGGCTATGACCAACCACAAGTAGGTGAATTTGCGAGGCAAGTACAATATAATATGCGCAAACTGAAGTAGTAAATCTTCATTTAGTTATTATGCGGTAATATGTTGCATTGAGGAAATAATAAACCTACCTAGTAGATATTTAAAAAAAAATCGAACAAAAATTATTCAGATTCAAGGACTACTCACTTCACTATTTAATGTTGTAGTGGCAGAGCCTCGAGCATCAGGGTCAATTGCAAGAAGAGTTTCTACCAGAGCGAGAGCACATGGTGGAAATTCCTTGAAGGTCTCTGCTATGCAACACTTATAAGGTTGCTGAGGTTTATAAAGAGTTGCATTTGGCAATCTGGATTTCTTCCAATATTCCTCTGATGGAGAACCACATAATTTAAAGATCTTGTGAAGTTGCTCAACCTAAATAGCAAAGAAATAAATAGTTTGAACTTGGCCAAATACATAAGAAACAATTGATTAAATAGAATGATTTCAGCCGTCAGAAGCTAATGTTCCATAAATTAGAAATTTCCCTATGTAAGATAATGGCATAACATTTCGAAGGAGTCGATGCACGTACTAGGACTAAATATGAATGTGCCCGATATCTTTTATGTCATTATGATGAATGGGATGATTTCCACTTTAAGGGATTGCTCAAACGATTGTATCAAACAAATAAAATCCAAGAGAGAATACCTCAGTCCGACCCCGCATTATTGGCTTCCCAGCAAACAGCTCTGCCAAAATGCAGCCTGCACTCCACAGATCAACACCAACCCCATAATAAGTGGCCCCCAGTAAGAGTTCTGGAGGACGGTACCAGAGGGTGACAACCCGACTGGTCAAAGGCTTCTTGCGATCAGGATCATAAAAAGAAGCCAACCCGAAATCGGCTATTTTTAAGATTCCTTCGTCATCAATTAGCAAATTAGAGCATTTGATATCACGATGTAGAACGCCATTTTTATGGCAATGCTCAAGCCCAGAGAGTAATTGTTTCATAAAACATTTGACCTGCACCAGGAAATATAATCATGATAAGCCACTCAAATATTCATCACATGGATAGCAGCAGATCAGTTGAAAGAGGCTAATAAATGAACTGCTATTACGATGGCAATTTTTGGTCAAATTTTCACAATAGCCTAATTAAGATGTTAAGGTCAAAATGCCTTCTCAATGTTATGAAATACATTGAACCACTTGATTTAAAAGCTTAAGTTGTTAGATAAGGCCAAACGTATATTATTTAAATATTATCTTCAACGCTCCTTCAAGTGGAGGCAAGATTCAATTTTTTCAAAGCCTACCACATGCACGATTTGTTTAATTGGTGGTGAAGAGACTTGAACACATTTGCCTACTTGGATACCACGTAAATCCCTTGATTTAAAAGCTTAAGCTAATACATAAGGCCCAATATTTAAATATTCTCTTCAACATATTATAAATGTTATGGTGAACAAAGAGAAATCTACACTCAAGATGGAAAATTCATTATCTGTCTAGTTATTTACAGGTTGATCTTTGACTTCTATACTGTATACATCAATCAGTACGTTTGTCTGTTAGCAGAGGATTAGGGTTTATGATATGAGAGTGAAAGTAATGACTCATAACAGGCTAATATCTCAAAGTACTTGTCTTATTTATATAAACAAGTAATATTTTCCAAGTTTTTGATAATACAAGTGTGCACAAGTTCTTGGACAGTATTTAGCTGCAGACAATCCTAAATTGCCCTATTCCAGAAGTCTAAGCTTAAAATTTCAATTAGAAACTCTTTCTCAAACTTGCAAAACCATTTCAATGTCATTTGATAGCATGTCAAAACTTTCCATCAATCATCAAAAGGAAATGGACTTTACTCATGAAGTACACTTTATGCTTTCTAAAACACTATAGAGCAATTACATGCCCAAATTATCTGAATGCATCATTAGAGAGTATTATCCCTATTTCCACAGTTTACAACTAGGAAAAAAATGCCAACTAGATGTGCATAACCAAATAAGCACACATCCAGGAAACACGAACAACAATAATAAAAGTATTTGAATCTAAACAACAATGGAACAGACCGCAGACCAATTAAATTCATCAAAGAAATCATATGAGATGATAAAAAAATTCTAATTTTTGCATCCTAACTTCTCTACCTGGGGTTCTGTGAACTTGACACCATGGACAGCAGCAAGGCCAGCAAGATCATGCTCCATATATTCCAAAATGAGGTAAAGGCTACTAGACATTCTCGAAATAACCAGCCCTTCGAGCTTAATTACGTTAGGATGATTCAGCCTACTCAAAATGAGTATCTCTCTCGCCACAAATGCAACGGTTTCTGGCTCTAGGTTATCAAACCTTACTTTCTTCAATGCAACCACCTTCCCTGTTATCAAGTCTCGAGCTTTATACACATTGCTGTATGTTCCTTGTCCAATCTATTCAAAAATAACAATATTATGACTACAGAATTAACAATATTTTCAGTGCCCCAATATGTTGCGCATAATGCTAAAGATGAGAAAACAAGAAATCCAAAACATTTATATCATCCAAAACAAAAGCAATTTTGTATACAATGGCAAAAGCCAAAAACCTAATAGCAATCTGATTAATCCATTTCTTAAGACCAAGCAAGCACCTAATGGTTGGGAGCATTTTGGTTGTGCTCAAAAGCAAATCAAACTTAATTTAAACTCACTTTCTTTACTAACAAAATTTCCTTTCCTAAAAAGAAAATCTTATCGTACTTTCTGAAAAAGTAACTTTCAAGCGTTGGTGAATATGCCTCTTCCTAAAGAAGTTCCTTTTTATACTGGAAATCGTTATTTGTTCACATTTCACATTATATATCCTGGTGACCCTAATGTAGTCAGCCCAAACACGTTACAAATGTAAAGCACGCAACTGGAAGTTGTACCTTGCGACTCAGAAGTGGTACTTTTCTAAAACTACTGTTCAACTATGTATATTATGCGCACCTTATCGAGTTTCTCGAACGTGTTGGCACGGCGGGGTGTCCAGTTCTTGATGGCGTCGCCGGCGACGTCTACTAGCCACGAAGGCCACCCTTCCCGAGTGGTGGCGCAGCCAGTTCTTAGCCGAAACTCCGGCGCAGAAGCCGCGGACCTAAGCTTTCCCTTATCTGCCTCCGGAATCTCTCCAATCTTCTTCTTCTCTCTTCCACCGTCGTTCTGCACCCTCGTGAGGTGGGGTTCTGAAACCCACCCATTTTCTTCCCTCCGTCGAGTTTCTCTTCTCCTGGAGGCTATTTTCCCAAGGACACAGCCCATTGAAAAAAAACAATCAGTGAACTAAACTCAAATTTCAGCTGCCCATCATCTTATTTCCACGAAAAATTTCTCGGTTTCAAGAAATTCAATGTGAAATTATTTTATAATACCAAAAAATCGAGCCAATTATAAACAAAACAGCTTTGCAAATGAGTTCAGGAAAAACAAAAACTTCAAAAATTCTATAGAAGAAATGATTTGAATCAGAGGCCCAGTTAAGCTGAAAATTTTGCTAATAACCACACAAAATGACGCTGCTATTATCGTAGTCTGTGACTGTTACTCTGCATTAATTGCTTTGTGTCTGCGTGGGCATTGAATGCAAGAAAATGAGAACAATTAATATTTGTGTGTCTGTATATTAAAGAGAGAAGAAAAGTTGGATACTTCTCTTTTCGTTGGAATGGTATTTGCGTCAGCAATTGATTGATTAATTACTGGCATCGATTCTTCAAAAAGTCAAAGTTTTTGGATATATGTATGTGTAGAGGGAGAGAGGGGGTGATAGGGAATTTATGTTTTTTAATCTTTTTCTTCACCAAACGAGTTCTACTGTACTTGTTATTAAAATCAAATTTTAATCTAAATTAAAATTAAATAATCAATAGTAATTACATATTTAATTGATCTCACAATTTTTCAACCACATATTTCATCAACTGTTATCAAAATTTGCTAAAAATCTAATTTTAATTTTCACCAAACATGAGAAGTATTAATTATATATTAATTAAGCTATGGTTCATGACTATCCATAACCATAACCATACCATGGTTTAGAAGTGTTTATAAAGTCTTCAAATTTTAATTAGATAAGAACAAATTATTTTTAAGTGACTAGTAATTGCGCGTCTTTCAAAATATGTTAATTAGAAATAATTTAAAATAAGAATTTTGCTACTTTTACATCAAAATGGTACATAAACGTTTATCGACAATTATGTGGAGGGAAAATATTGAATAAAAAAATTGAGTGTGTTTTAAGGATAATGCTAAATGTACATAATGATCTACATAAGGGTCTACATAATGCAGATGAGGCAAACATCCGGAGAAAGATGTCTAAGTGTAATATTTGAAATAAAGGTAGGATCACATGCCACATATGCATTATGTACAAATGGGATCGTGTTGTAGATAGTACCAACTCTAACCATTCTGGCTTGCGTGTTCTTTGAACTTTTGTGAAACTAAGGCACTGTTTAATTTGACTTTCTTTTCCATGAAACATGAAAATTAAGGCCTTGTATGGGAGGGATTAAAATTGGATTAAAATTGAAAATATAGCCGTTATTGTTGACTTTTATTAGACGAGTGGGACCCAATAACGGTCATATTTTCAATTTTAATTGGCTTTTAATCCCTCCCGAACGAGGCCTTAATCTTTTTCTTCACCAAACGAGTTCTACTGTACTTGTTATTAAAATCAAATTTTAATCTAAATTAAAATTAAATAATCAATAGTAATTACATATTTCATTGATCCCACAATTTTTTAACCACATATTTCATCAACTTTTATCAAAATTTGCTAAAAATCTAATTTTAATTTTCACCAAACATGAGAGTATTAATTATATATTAATTAAGCTATGGTTCATGACTATCCATAACCACAACCATACCATGGTTTAGAAGTGTTTATAAAGTCTTCAAATTTTAATTAGATAAGAACAAATTATTTTTAAGTGACTAGTAATTGTGCGTCTTTCAAAATATGTTAATTAAAAATAATTTAAAATAAGAATTTTGCTACTTTTACATCAAAATGGTACATAAACGCTTATCGAAAATTATGTGGAGGAAAAATATTGAATAAAAAAATTGAGTGTGTTTTAAGGATAATGCTAAATGTACATAATGATCTACATAATGCAGATGTGGCAATCATCCGGTGGTTGATGTGTAAGTGTCATATTTGAATTAAAGGTGAGATCACATGCCACATATGCATTAAGTAGACCCTTATGTACCCATAGCATTGTCCGTGTTTTAAACTGATAGATGATAAAATATCACGTGACATTATATAATCTCTTATGTAAATCTTAATGTGCATATGGCAAGATCTTTAAAATAAGTTATAAACATAAGTAAAACATAATCGATTGTATTACATGTACATAATGATTTACATACACATGATGTGGTGAGATATGATTGGATCATATTTTTTTTAATCAAATAAAAAAACTTACTTTTTTTTTAACACATCATTTGTATGTAAATCATTGGTACCTCCATTACCTACAAGTAGCATTACTCAAACATAATTAGAGGGTCATATGAGGATTTTACAAAATTTGGACATATGTGCACTAATATCCAACTTTAGAAAGGAATTAAACACTACGTTTAAAAAAATTTGGACTTCTGTTCTCTTTGCTGTTTTAGAGTCATTTTGAATTTTCAATTTTCGAAAACACTGAAAACACGTTTACTTACCTATTTTCATAAATGAATTTCCAAAAACGAGTTTAAAATTTACAAAGAAAACGAAAAATGCCAAAAAAATCGTTTTGGCTGTTTTCAGTTAAAACCAAACCAAAATTTCATTTTTTTATTTTTGAAAACAATTTTTCAAAATGACAAAAAGAACGTGTTTTCAGCATATCAAAATGAATACTCGAAACACAAAACCCAAAATGAATTCAAAACTCAAAACTGCAAATTGAAACACAAAGATAACATCCTCTAACATTTTCATTTTAAAGATTAATAACCAACTTATCATTAGAATAAGAGAAATAAGAGGTGGATTAGATGAGATATTAAATTTGTTTGACCCATTTTTTTTTGGCCAAAATGCATTTTGAAATAATATTTTGTTGACGAATGTGTGGTTAAAAAATAAAGAAAATTTTGAGTTTACGTATAAAATTACTTTATGGGAGAATATGTGATTGAAATTGATTTTTGAAAAAATGAATGCCAAATATAGGTTGTCTCGCACTAGTAAGTTTCCATTACTAGTCGAGCATTTTTATTATTATGTCGACAAATAATAGAACTGATTATTTATTTAGATTTTTAAAAATTTTTAGACCATGTTTGAAACCCATTTTTTGAAAATAATATATTTTAGAATAGTATTTTGACGGTGAATGTGAGGTTAAAAATAAGGAAAAGATTTGAATTTACGTGCAATATTATTGTATCGAAAAATATGTGGTGAAAAATAAGAGAAAGAAAAATGCATTTTGAAAATAATGATAATCAAACAATGGTTTAGTTTTCCCACAAGAATATTATTTTATAATTTTACAGTGGAATTATCGGTATTAAATTTTGTTTAGAAAATATATACTCCATTTCATAAATATGAAGTTGCTTTCATTTCTAAATAATTAAAGAAAATATACTTAATATAATTCAAAATATAAATTTTTCTCTAATAATCCTACATTAAATAATGATTTAAACATGGGTAATTTTTATTTGTTAATAATAATGCATATTAAATAAAAACATATTAAAAAATTAAAAAGTCAATTATCTTTAATTGTACGTTTGAGCTTTATTTTTTGCCCTAAATGTATGTTGGAATAATATTTTATTGAAAAACATGTCATTAAAAAATAAGAAAAAAATTGAATTGACGTACAATAGTATTTTATTGGAAAATGTGTATTTGAAAGTAAGAGAGGAAAATATTTTAGAAATAATTGGTAAGGAAAATGCAAATATGGAGAGGAAAAAGGAAATGCTGACATCTTACCTACCTACCTCGCCAAACCTATTATTTTGCATTTATTGTATGAGACAAGAAAAATAAGTGCATAACTTTGACAATTGATGGGAAATGACAAAGTGTGAATTTATTGTAGTTTTGAACGTTGCAATTTACAAGAGATCTGTTGTAGTAGAGGTAGAAACCATGTTAATTATTCACAATTTTTTATTTCAGTCGAAATAAGATAATCCATTTGGGAACACTTTATGAAATTATTTAATTTATAAATAAATAGGATGAGAGGTGAATAAACATATAATAATTGTGAGTTCACTAAAATGTGTGGTTGAAAATTAAATTTGTCCATTTATAAATAATTTACAAATTTTGTCAAATGAGAGTTAAAATGTTTTCTTGAGGTTGCTCAATTGGACTATAGATGGGAGCATAGTGACAATCCTCCGTATCTCCTACCTCATCGAGAATTTTCAGGAGGAAGTAGGACGAAAATTAATTCATGTTTACTGCCACATTTTATTTATAATTATTTAGATGGATAAAAATATAAATATAAGAGTCACGTTCCCCATAGGACGAATTCAGAAAGAATTTTGTCATGTGTCATATCTAGTGATGGCAAACGGGCCG